CTGTTCCAAAGCAAGGGGAGCAGACACCCTACGTCAGTGAAGCAAAGCAAACGCCTCCCATGATTCCTTGGTGCAATTACTCTTTACTTCAAGTCAGTGATTTTCAGAGAAGCAGTTGAGAAAGTTTTAATGCACTGAAGCCCTGAACGCTAATTTCTGAATAAAAGAAATTTCAGATACTAAGTGAAATGTGTTAAGTGTTACTTGAATGATGTGGCTGATTTTTAAAGCAGATTAATCAGAATATATTTGTCCAAAAAGAATACTTCATTTCATGTTTTCAATGGCTTGCTTTTCTGAAATAATCAAATCATTGCCCAGTAAATCAAAGGAATAAGGTGAGTGCCTAAACTGAATAATCCTGCTTCTGGTTAGAAAAACAAGCAAAGCAGACAACCGATACACAATAATGGACTGCTTTTATTATTACAGTATAAACTACTGAGATGATAAAGTTTATTTCAGTCAAGTCTGTTTCCCATGCTTAAACATGATAAATGATACACTTAAACAATTTAGACTGATACTATCAGTCACAACCTAGCATTAAAACTAACTCAAAAACCAAGAATTTCAAAAACATTTTTATAATAACAAAATTCCTGCGTTAAGTACACATTCTGAAATATGACAACTTGAAATGGCAATTTAATTAGCTATTTCAGTGTACTACCTTAATCTTTAGGGTAATTATAAAATTATTATACTAAACAGAGCTTATTATGGCAATTTAAATAAGTGACTTCTAAAACTGTAAATGTAAATTCTAGCTTCTCAGAAAAAAAAGTCCCATGTATATGCTGTGGAATGCTGTGGGAGAAAAAGTAGAAGGGTGAACACTGAAGAACTCTGAAACAGCTATTCACTGATAGTCAATGAACTCAGTAGATTGGCATTTTTGTAGAATCTTTTGACATTGAAATATCAATGCAAAATAAGTTTTGCTGTTGTTGTTCAAGATAGTTAAGGGAAATTTTGACACAGCATTACCTTTCTTCTACCAAGGACAAAGAAATAGTTGTTACAACTCTTTGGTCATGACAAAACGGTAAGAGCAGAAATGACTCGAAAGTTAATCCATTATAGTGGTGCCTCGGTTCACGAACTTAATTTTTTCTACAATTTTGGCAAAGATGGCCATGTGTGTGTCTGTGTGTGGAAAGATGGCTCTGGTGACATCCGTCACCCAAAGCAAAGTCTGGAAACAAAAAACAAAGTTTGCTAAACATTTCTGTATGCAAACCAAGTAGTTTGCAAACAAAAGTTTGTGAACCCGCAACAGAAGATCAAGGTATTTCATGAGTCTTTCAAATTGCCAACAAGAAAATAGTTTCCTTGAATATCTTTGAAATCAAGAATAGTACTGGAAACAAGGTTGCTCTTGTTTGCTAATTGAATGTGGCATAGAGGGTAGAGTCCAACTGAATAACTCTTCATATATGAAATAAGCTCAGGTGTTTTTCATTAATATGGAAGTATTTGTTAAATGATATGACTATTATAACAAGAAGAACAAGCACATGAGCATAGTCCTTCCCATGAATCACATCAGAAGCTCACACAGCAGCAAAAAGTGATGAAAGACACATTTAGAAAACATAGTGGTAGGGAGGAGAATAAAGATATTCCTTGAAAAAATAAATATTATTCTGTGCATATGTTGAGATGATAGTTCAATCATAAATATGATGCTTTCCTATAGAACACTGGCAAATGATCTTTTATGGATCTTAGGGAAGAATTAAAAAGCATCATTAAGGTAATTACTACTGTCTTTCAATTTCATCAAGTGTTCTGAGCTATATAGCTGTAGTCATTGTTAGAAATGTATTCGACTACCTGCAGTGCAAAAAAAATCTCCTGTCCAAAATTTAAGATAGGACTTAAAACATACTTAGCTTCAGTAACAAAGTGAATCTACTATACAGTATAACTGAAAAGGAGAAACGAAAAAGGAGTATAATGCATAAAGCCATCAAGACAGTCAAAACTCTTCAGTCATTTTGTGATCCTCAGGGTCACTATGCCATTGTATTTCTGTGGTTTTTTCACTGTTTATTTACCTGTAGATGAAACACTCTGGAAAATCAGGCTCATTCCAGAAGTGTGGTATAGATGCTATGTGACAGTGTTGGTGGTTGTTAATTGAGTAGTCAAAACGATAGAGTTTTTGTTTGTTTGTTTTAACAAAAATAAACTTTTGAGGGCCAGGAATACAGCTCTGTGGCACAGCCCCGTCCTTGCAAGCACAAGATCCTGAGTTCAATTTCTGATACCCCCATCAAAAGAATAAACTTTTGGTATTGGGCAAGAAAATAACAGAAGTTTTATATAGTCTTTTTGAGACAGGGTTTCGCCATGCAGTTCAGGTTGGCCTTGAACTCACTTTGTAGCCCAGGCTAGCCTGAAACTCACAGTGATCCTCCTGCCTCAGCCTCCTGAGTGAAGGGCTTACAGCCCTGAGCCCCTGCACCCCGCAACTGCTTCTAGAAATTGTCTGTTCTCTTTGATTGTGAAAGCATAAAAAATACTTTGATACACAGTAATCCCCTCATAGCTACAGTTTCACTTTTTATAGGTTTAGATAGCAGAGATCATTCACAGTCCAAAATATTAAATGGAAAAATCCATAAACAAATAATTCATAAATTTTACATTGCATACCACCTTCAACAATGTGATGAAGTCTTACACCTTTCCACTCTATCCATATTGGGGTGATAATTATCCCTCTGTCCACAGTGTCCACGTTATACTCCTTACTCCTATTTTTGTTACTGTGCAGTCTGCTGGGTTATCAGATCAACTGTCCTGATATCACAGTGCTTGTGTTCTGGTAACTCTTACTTTATTCAGTAATATCCTCAAAGTATAAGAGTAGTAACGCTGAGGATGGATTTGCCAAAGAGAAGCTATAAAATGATTCCTTTACATGAAGAGGTGTAAGTTCTCAACTTCATAGGAAAAAATAGAGTTCCAAGTTGTCTATTTTTTCTAATATCCACTGAAGATAACCATTGCAGGAAAAGGTGAACTACTGTACTATCTCTATGACTGTGAGCTGTTGTGGTAAAGACAATTGGACAATTCAAATCCCCTAAATCCTTACATATTTGCACACATTTTGATCCAAGAAATTTCATTTCTAAATATTTATCCTAAAGAAGTAATCATAAACACAGATGAAGAATATATCAGGATGCACTTCAGAGTATTATTAATAGTATCAAATTATGGAATCTGTCCAGTTAATAATATACTATTTAAAATAAATCATGTATGTGAGTAAAAAGGTATGCCATAGATTCTTGACTGATGTCATAAAAGGATATTTAATAATATGGAGCTTTCAATATTTTATGTTTTGAAATTTGGATCTGTAGATTTAAAAAAATTTGAATTTATCTAGGATAAAAACTTTGCATTTATTAATGAGTTGGAAACACATCATGTCACCACAGACAGCATAAAATGAACCATCTGGAAAAGAAATGATTATTGATATATGAATTACTTGAATTATTTTATACAGAAAAGTATTTTGAAAAGATAAAATTAAGATGTTGATACCTGTTATCTTTAAGAATATCATTGGTATCATTATCTATTATTTATTTTTTGTTATTTCAATTTTCTAAAATGCAATTTTAAACTAATATATCAATAACCATAAAAGAAGTACCTTAAAGCATTCTGAATCATATGAATAAAAATTAAAAGAAGTCCACACTCTTTCACACAGACAGTACACTTGGATATGCCATAAGAAAATCACTAGACCCATATGTTTGTGAATGCAAAATGTATCACTTACATATTTGAATAAAGTACTGAAATGGGATGTACAGTAATATTTGCTCCCTAGAGTTTGCCTTAAAAGTGGTAAAAAGTGAAAACAATAAACCGAGCTGCTAAAATGAAAATAAAAGTATTTAACAGCTGCAGTACCTTTAGAGATACATTGTTAATAAGAAAATCAGTAAAAAATAAAACAACGGATGATCTATTTTAATAAGTATTCACTCATGTTTTATATGAGGAACAAAGAAAAATCTGAAGTAAATGATTCTAGAATAAGTGCAGCGTTTCACAGTTAAAATTGTTACACTCTTTCTGTTGTGATTTATTCACAATGCTCACAGGCAGCGCTTTGGAAGATGACGGGATTACTGGGCGTTACCCGCCTTGTCCTGAGGAAGCCGGTCTGCCAAGCACCAGCGAGTCACCGTGGGTGTGGCCCAGAGGTGCTGTCTTGGTTACTTTTTTCTCGCTGCTGGGACAAAATACCTGATGCCCAAAATTAAGGAAGGGAAGGTTTATTTCGCTTACAGTTCGTGGAAGTTTCAATCCGTACTTGGCAGATTACAAGGCAGAGTGGCACGTGGCAGAGGACTGCATCTCAGGACGGCAGCACAGCAAAAGAAGCAAGCCACACATCAGGGCGGAATCGGGGAGGAATGCCCTCAAGCACTCTCTTCCTCTCCCTTACATATGCAAACTATCCATCCCAGGGCGGGTGTAGCTCTCACACCCTTCAAAATCTAAAAGCCTGCCCCGAGACCGCATGAGGCTTTGAGGGACACACAGATATAAACCATAACAGGTGCGTCTGCCTTCTGGGGTCTTCCCCGCACCCTCTGTCTGGTTCCTCCACACCAGGGGGTGAGCAGCTCCCCCAGGCCTTTCTACCTTGCAGCTCTAAGAGCCGGCTGCCTATGCACAGCAACCTCGCAAACTGTGAGCCAAAACAAGCCTTTCCTCCGAGTTATGGGAGTCAGGAATCTAGCCCCAGCAGTGAGGGAAGTAACTAAGATACCTTTTAAACAGTGATGTATTTTTCTTAGAATGCGTAATAATATTTTAATTTTAAAAGAACTTTCCTTCATTGGAAAGCACAACTGAAAAGCATATGCAGTCATGATTTCTACTTACTTAGGAGTTAACGTGACATAAAATGCAATGTAAAGGTTGGAAAAGAAGGGAAAATCCGTGATACTCACTCTTGTCGTGTAAGCAGCTTCCGGATCATCTTCTAGAACTCGTGAGAGTCCGAAATCAGAAACTTTACACACCAAGTTACTGTTGATCAAGATGTTGCGGGCAGCAAGGTCTCGGTGAACATAGCCCATATCTGACAGATACTTCATACCGGACGCTATTCCACGAAGCATCCCCACGAGCTGGATGACGGTAAACTGGGCATCATGTTTCTGTAAATCATTTCCAGCGTACAATTAAGATGTGTTTCTAACAGGCTGAAATGTCTTTTTCCTTTAAAATCTCAACAAAGCTGTTCTAATAAGGCTGACCATGTACATTTTAGTTCAGAGCGGTCGAGATTAACAAGGTATGTAGATAAATGGATACAAAAACAAAACAAAACTGCATAGTGTGTGTATACCAAGTAAAGTACCATGCAGTCACCAGAAGGTTAAAAGTCAGATTTTCCTGGTATTTCTGTGGTCCATATCCTCCTGCTCTGGAACATGAAGGTCAAAACCAAAACAACACAAAATGAAATGTGTCCTGCAACTACTTCAGCTTGATATTACATTTATTTGAGGGAATTTTCATTTTTCTTCTTGATTTCTATATATTTTATGAATTGCTTCAAATAAAGAAGATACTAAATTTTCAGTTATTGTCATAAATAATTGGTTCATAAATAGTACAAAATATTTATTAAATTAATGTGTTTCTATGCAACTTTGACTTACAAGTTATGAAGTAAAAAGAAAAGGAGACAAAATCAGAGGCCTGCATTGAGAAGAACTTCCAATCCACTTGGATTAAAATAGAAATGTAAGATTAATATATTAATATAAAATTTTGCATCTAAATATATCTATAATAGCAGTGTTAAATGAAGTTATGACAATAGTCAAAATCCCCTAATTTGGAAAATGCTTTTGAAATGTTTGTGAAATGTTCACTATTAAATTTTATATTTGGTTCATGAGTATTAAAATACAGTATATCATTTTTCATTCTTAGAAAAAATTAGATTTTTCCTCCATGACTATTAATTGTACTGTATGTTTTATCTCTCATGTATTTAGTTATTACTTATCTTTCTCAATTTATAAAGTACTAAATATAAGCTTAACTATCACAAGGTTTCTCTTATATAAAAAACACAGAATATGAACAAAGAGCAAAATCAAAGAAAAATGACAAGAAATGAGATAGTGCTTTTGCAAAGGGGAAGAGGGCAAAGGATAAGGGCAGTGGGAGGGGGAGGAGGGGAAGCAGACGAGAAGGGGCTGAGACGTGTTACAGTCGTGTCATACTCCTCACCAAGAATGCAATCATTGTGCACTGCAAACACGTGCATTAAATAAAGATGTGTAAAAGAGGAAAACCCCTTGAGTACAGGATGTGTGTCTTTTCTGATCCTTTACAGTGACTCATGATTTGTAATGGCTTAGAAGTTATAATTTTTTTTATTTCTTTGAGCATGGTATTCACTGAAATATTTGAAAATCCATTGAAAATAACAAAATGTAAATATTCTAAATTTAAAGATTTTAAAATATGTGTCACTAGAATTATATCTCAACTGAGAATATATATATGTTCTACAAAATGTGTACTTTCATAGTAGACGGCACTACATGAGACTGAGGTTACTTTAAATAAAGAGAAAGGAATATTTCTTCCTTAAATTATTTATGTCTTACTTTAGAGATTTTTACATTTAGTTTTATTTTAACAGATGTGAATATGAGCAATAGAAAGACCTGGAATTTGCCCATTAAAAATTTAACAATATTTAGACCCTGAAAAATAAAAACTGCAGTGTAACAGTTTTTTCTTCCTGTTTAGTACCGGAGAATTTCGGTTACACTTGAAGTTTAGATTGCGTAATTGCTTCGCACAGCATTGGAAATCTTCCCTCATGTTTTCGGCAACTCATTCACAAATATGTGTGCGTGTGCGTACGTATTTCACTTACTCGTAAGAAGCTGTCCAAGGAACCATTCTCCATGTATTCTGTGACAATCATGACTGGCTTACCTAGGTATATGGTAAATGACACATTATCAGCACAGTTTGGCAAATGCCGCACAATGAGAATACATAAACTGTTTGATAAACTTGAACACAAAGATGTTAGAACTTTCTCTGTTCACCCAAGTTTACAAAGTTGCAATTATAAAATACACTAAGGAACAAAACCTACATTTCAGTAGAAAATTAAATTAAAAGAAGAAAATGGAGATCGTTTTCTAGAACAAAGGTCTATAACAATTTGAGTTGTTCTCAAAAAAAAGAGTTGTCCTGTGTGACATGGTTTTCCATGGACACAGCATGAGCTCCTTTTCTTCCTCGGACTGCACCTTAGCTAGCGTTCAAAACCAAGTACTTTGCTTTGAAGTGCAAGGCAGACCCAAGAGTTCAACATTCACGTATTCTTGCCACTGATACTTACAAGGCTAAGTTTACACATTCTCTGTTGTGCGAATTACAGAGAAGTAAGTAAATACAAGCCCTTCTCTTTATAGACCAGAGAAGATAGTTATGCAAAACAAGACAGTAATAATCTTTTCACATGGTTTTATTCTAAAGCCCTTGTTATGCTCAAAAGGAAAAAGAAACTAAAATTAAAATTACTGTGGAAAAGTAATTTGTAGTAACCATTTGGAAATGTCTCCTTCATTAATATTAAGACTTAAAACAGCAGCTTCATGCAGTCATATAATTATTATGTGCAAAATATAGGATCAATTATTAAATACCTTAACAAAGTTTCCATTTTACACATGAGAAAATTGAGACATTGAGGCTGACTAACTTTCTGTGGTGTCATACAGCTACCAAGTTATAAAGCGAAAAGTTCCAAACTTCATACGCTATGCTGTCTCTAAAGAAAACATTTAAAATATGAAAAATGTCAGACAAAAAGATGGTAAGTATACTGGATATAGTAACTGAAAATAAAATGTATATTTAACTAATGATAATAAATAATTAGTTAATTCTTTCATGTCAGGTTTATAGACTACTGTGAATTAAGATGAGCCTAAAAACCATAGCACTTTAACCAACTTTGGCAGTGTAATACTATGTGAAAAAAGCTGAACCATCTCCATACACACGTTACTACAATAACTAAGGAATGCATAATTGAAAACACTTCAAAAAACTTAGAGAATGTTTGTGAGGTACAGGAAATGCCACTAAATTTTTCTACGATTAAATCTTTGTGACATTGCACTAGGTACTTGACATGTGTTACGTCGCTTCATCTCCGTGTAGCTTTATACTTTAGTAATATTCATTATTCCTACTTGGCTGGTTTTCACCAGAAAGCATTGCAAATTTGTGCACCTTACTGGGTTATCCAACTACCTGGTGATTGAGCAGATCCTAGATATGGCTGTCACTTATTTTATTTTATTATATTTTATTTTATGTTTGGTTACTGGGAATCAAACTCAGAACCTTGAGCTTGTCAGGCAGGAGCTTGTGTCACCGAGCTATATCCCCAGCCCCATCTCCTATTTTAAAGATGAGATGTATTACCACATTACAGAACCTTACTGTATTATTAATATGCTGTTTATTTGTAAATCTTTCAATTAAAAGAAAATTATCATTTTTCCAAGTCCAGAAGACTGAGTTAAATTGTAGTGGAGAATTATTGAAAGATCTTGAATAAATAGTAGATTTAAAAAAAAAAACATTTATGTCCATCTAACTGTATAACAGATTTTCACACTTTCTTCATATGTGCCTTCTATATAAAAAAGGGTTAGTTTGCCATTCTGATACTAGAAAATAAGTTATTTTCTTTTTACCTTAATTTATACTGCCTGCAAATCATGAATGATTATATTTAATTAGTTTAGAAAGCTGAATACATCATAGAATGTATGTCCTTTTTATTGAGGAGAGAAAAACACTACTTAAATTGTGTAAAATTTCCCAGATAATTTTTAAATGTTATATTAACAGACACATTGATCTATTTCCATTAAGATAAGACACTGCTTTATTTATATTCTTTAGGTGCCATATCACATATACCTGAGTGATATAATATCTGAAAAGTCAACTTAGCCAAAACATTTGTCTCAAAGCTTGCTGTTTTCAAATTCTAACTAAATACAATTTGGGCAATATTCTCAAAAAAAAAGGAAAATAGAAGATTGACTCTTGCCTTAGAAACTCTGGTACTTCCTGAACTATTGTTCCCACAGACCTGGCCTGGAATAAAATAAATGATGAATGAATGAATGAATGAATGAATGAAATCTTGTATATGCATGTTCTCTTTTCTGTCATCAATCTCTGTCCCCTTCATTAATAAAATTCTGGAGAAAATTATATGCTGCCAAAATTCAATATACTTCAAGTGGAGTCAGAGATAGTTTGTCTTGTACTGAAGTTACTGCATTTGTGCACCACCAGGCATTTGCTTATCGTTGCATCCTCTGGCTCTCAGCCATGGGACCAATTCATTTCTCATTAGCATGTCTAGTAGAATGTTTGACAAAGGAAATAAAAGTAGCTAAAATATCAAACCAGTCAATTCAGGCAAAGCCCCATGACCATTCATAAATAAGGTCAGGCTGCATTTAACTCTACAATTTAGATATTTGTAAACAGATCAGTTAAGGTGGGCAAGTCTGAAAGTATGTTTCGCATTAAGTTCAAAGATTCTGCAAACCAAATATACAAAGAGTAAACAGAATCGTAAGTAATCTACTTTGGAAAGCAACCTTTTATTTTAGAGTCTCCCTTATGATCTTAATTTAGATAAATATGGGTACAGAAATAATTTCTAGAATAATGGTGAAGAACTAGCTCTAACAAGCATTAAATATAGTGGGAAACTATTTATAAGATACCAGTTCATCTGCTGATTATACAAAGCATTGACAGTCTGGTGTGCATAATATTTCATATGTAGTTTGATTTACAAATTACAGTTGGACTTCTTGAAGATAGACTTCTTCAAGACAGCTTATTTTTATTCACTGCCTTCAGAGACCAACCACAAAATGCATCTGGGTATACAGGCTAAACTCAATGGAGCTACTGTTGTAGGAATGACTGGAATAAAACTCCACCAAAAATAAGTACAACAAAGTCTGTAGTGGAGTGGTGCTTTTAATGTTAAATTGATTTCTGAGTAAAGACAATATAGTGAGCTTTCACAAAATAAAGAGAACCAAATTGGTCTATTAAAATAGTTGATTGTCTCCAAATATCCCCAGTGGCTGAGAGATACTTATAAACATTAAATTACCACTTGATAGAAACGTGATTCAAATTGTCTAAGAATTCCAGATTCAACACTATTTCTTTGCAACCTTCCTAATGACATTTCCTCTAAAAAAAGGAGTTGAGGGGCTGGGGATTTAGCTCAGCGGCAAAAGTGTCTGCCTGGCAAGCGTAAGGTCGTGAGTTCGGTTCCCAGTACCGGAGAAAAACAAAAAAAAAAACCAAAAAATAAAAAATAAAAAAAGGAGTTGAGTAATGCAATATAAATACGTACATAGTTAGTAACTGAAGTATTTTTAAAATGTTACTTTTTGGGTTAAAAAATATTTATATTCAAACAGTATTTATAAATCATCAAAGTTTAAGAAGTATTGAAATTTTATTCATTTCTACAGCAAATGCTATTTCCTTCTACTTATAGCAATAACCTTATCTAACACTCTATATCTTATATTTGAAACAATTAAACAGACATGAGTATGGTTTATGAAATCAAAATCTTTGACCTTAGCATCCAGCATGCCAGTAGAATGTAATCAGAATCAGAGTGGAAGCAAAAAGATGTAAAAGGAGAAAGAAGTTTGAAGAAAATTAGCAAAAATTACTTCACGGTTTTCAAGACAGACTTAAATCATCTTTGATGAGAAAAATTATTTTAGTTACAGTCCTAACTACAAGACTGAACAACTAAAAGACTGAAACATACTAACAGTGTTTTTCAAATTTCACTTCCATCAGGACATTATCCTGTTGTAATGAACAGTGTTAAACCTCCTGCTCTATGGTTAGCGAGAGCAGCGGCCGACTCCATGCGCTTGGAGTTCTAAGTCCGCCTCTTAGCTGTGAGCCAGTTACAAATAATCAGGTTATGGCCCTTATTTCAGACTCACTAAGAACAGTTCTCTTCAAAATCAGACCAAGAAGCACTGTCTTCAAGTCTTCCAGCCAACTATACCCTCAACCTTAGTATATAGAATGGTTAACATTCAAGCTTATTTTAAATTTGGGAGGCGGGTACTGGGAATTGAACTCATGACCTCAGGCTTGCAAGGCAAGCGCTTATGCCTCTGAGCTATATCCCTGACCCTCAAGCTTATTTTAAAATATTTCAATTTATTTATGCTGAAATTGACAGCAGAGTTAACATCACAATAACTGAATGTTACTTTCCCTTATTCCAGTCAAAGCTATGTCAAGATAAGTTCAATGAATGTGTATAGTAACGTGAACACACTGCTCAATTTACAAGGACAGTTTTATGCTCATCTTTTCAAGCTTTCAATCTTTTTAAATGTCTAATTGCAATACTTAAGATCGTCAATACAATGCTAAATGGAAGTGATGATAGCAGGATTCTAGTTCCAACTTTAAAAGACGTCCTATAATATTTAACCATTGAATATAGGTTTTAAGATATATTTGTTCTTATTTAATGGTGTTGGCATACTTTTATCTGGCATACATATTTTCTGTGTGTGTTACATTAAAAACTTAAACCTCAAGAGATTGTTTTCTGTACCTATTGAGATGAGTTTTCTTTTTATTTATCAACGTTGTAAATAGTTGAAAATTTCTGAATATTAAATCACCTGTGAATTCTTGGAATGAACTCAACTTGGTCATAGTCCCCTTTGTATGCATTGCTACACACAGCTTTTTGATTACTCTGTAATTGAATTTTTATGAATCACAATAACCTGTTATTTTACTTCTGATAATACTTCTATTACTCGATAATCAAAATATCAGTAGCCTCATGATTTAGGGTTTTTTATGCAGAACTTTGTATACGATTAGTAATACCCAGAGAGTTGTCAAATAAATGTACTATTAAATGTCTTATTCTTTTAGGACAGTTACTGTAAGTTTAAGCTAGTGTTATATAAAATGTAGTCTTGCTGGGGATATAGCTCAGTGGCACAAGCGCCTGCTTGGCAAGCACAAAGCCTTGAGTTCAACTCCCGGTACCAAGAAAAAATGCAGTCTTAGGACACATGTAAATCATCCTCTAAACAAATTTTGTAAGTTGAATTCAGTCTTTCAAAAATGTTAGAAAATTATCTAATATACACAAATGAAGGAAATACACAGCATGCCTTATCATTTTATAAATCAAATATGGCAGATGCACCTAAAAATCATAGTGGATGGTCAAAAAGAAATAATTTCATCCCTTCTTTTATTTTCTAGATTTTTCTGATGTGAGCATGTAGACAGACATGTTCAGAACTCATTGATTGATTGTTCAAATGATTGAGTGATTGCAGCAATGAAAATTGAACCCAGGGCCATTGCTCTGACCTGTGTTGCTGTAGTCTTATTTTATAAGTACAATTTGTACTTTTTGTTTTGAGACAGGGTCTTGCTAACTTGTTAAGTTGACCAGGCTGATCTCAATCTTACTATCTTCCTAACTCAGGCTCTCAGAATGCTAGGATTAGATGCCAAATGCCTTTATCAGTCTTGCAGTCATAATGCATGACAACAAGTTGTGTTGTAATTTCTGAACTTTGTCATTCTAGCAAAATATTTCCGTAAATTATTAGTAAAACAAGCATGGTATATCTATTTTCTACTATGAATATCACTTGAAATATAATGCTGGTGAGATGAGTGCAGAAGAAATCTTTCAGAGAGACATAAACAGGAAATAACACGCATTAGTGCTTCTAAAGTCTGGTTTCTTATTCCGAGGTTTCCTTCTACGTTTCAGGAATAAAAAGGTGCAAATCAGTATCTACCTCTTCGGTGAAACACAAACACCCATGACGACAGATATATTTTATTTATTTATTTTTGTTTGTTTGTTTTTTTTCCGGTACGGGGGATCGAACTCATGACCTTGAGCTTGTCAGGCAGGCGCTGTGCCACTGAGGTAAATCCCCAGCCCCTCAGATATGTTTTAATTATGAAAAAAATTCTCTTAATTTTTACTGTATGACCTTTCTAAATAATGCAAGGTTATAGTTGATTTGCACAATAATATTTTTTTTAATTTCCAGAAGGTACATTGTTCTCATCTAGTATAATTCCTTCTATTGCACTAGGTAAAAATGTTGCCAATGAAAATGACTGTTGGAGTAGCAGAGTCATTTAACTAATGGTGTGATGGCAGAAATGTAAAACATTTGCTAAAAACAAGTTCCATCCTTTTGAAGTTTAACTAAAATTGATAACACATGTTAGTACCTAGTTCTGAGCAGACTATGCTGCAGCTTTCTGCTACTTTGAAGATCACAGACGCTATCACCTTCTCTTGTATAAGACCATCAGGCTAAAAACATACCATTAAAATTGTTTATGGCTCAATTCAGATAAATGAAAATGTTTTAATAAAAGGCTTTCTCTAAAGAATTTGAAAATGAGACAATGTAATAGACCTATTATTTCCAGTACAGCATCAGCAATAATAATAAAAAGAATTATCTATGAGCAAGAAAAATAAAACAGCACAAGGATATATTCTGAAGAATTTTCTTCTACACACCCAGATTTTTAATTGGTAATATTTCCAAATCAACCAGGACAGGTAAAACACAATTTTATAAGTTTTTCCAACTTAATGTATTCTATAATCTCATCTGAAATGAATCTGAAAATAGCAGTCTTGTTGATTCTATGTTTCATGTGAAGCCGTATCTATGATTACTTTGATTTGCAAGAGCTCTCACAACCAGTAACGCTGAGTTAGAATTTGATATTAGACCCAGTGATTCTTAATCTAGATACATAAATGCGTATTTTTACTTCCTCCAGCACTGGAGATTGAACATGAATGTTTATTTTTAAATACAACTTTTTATTAAATTATAAGCTACATATTACTGTTATGTGTGGATCATTCACAATCATTCAGTTTTAGATAACAAAATAAGAATATAATGTAAAACATTTTGGAGACAAAAATTGCCATATTTATTTTAAATGCAACACATAAGTTTTATATTAAGAATTTTTCACTTCTTCTATGTAATTACACGGTGCCAGAATTAGAGCTTTCAAATATGTCATTAAGGAGTTAAAAATCTAGTTCAAGGCCTATTATTCCATTACGTTTATAATATATGAAATGACTAGAATTTATATACTTAAATTTGACAGCTTCTTGTATACTTACTTGACCAGGGAGATATATGAATTTAAATCTTACTGGAAGTGTAAAGCAGTAGCAATCCATATTACAATGTATTATAGAAACAGAATTGAATAAGGTATTTAATGTATAATATCTGCAATTTTTACAGATATTTTTTTCTTAATGATATTGGGGTGGTCAGAAAATATTCCACTATTACTACTGCTGTGACCTAAGTTTTAGGGATGCAGAGGCAAGAAGCAAGTTTTTCTTGCATGATTTAACAGTAGGAAATGGATGCACCTGTAAACCATAATTGTTAACGCAATAAATCAGACACATAAGCGTAAATATCCATGTTTTCTTTTATGTGTGAAACCAAAACTATAGAGAAAGCAAAATAAAATATAGATCATAGGGGGTAGGGATGTAGATGCTTCTCAAATGGGAAGGGGAACAAGAGATGAAGGAGGAGGGAAGGGAGAGAGGGAAGCGGGTGAAAACAGGAATTGGCTGTGCTCTGTCCCCGTACAACTCCACACCGGGAACATAAACACACAGCACAAACACGCACTCATAAAAATAGTAATAAAAATAAAAAAGAATCATGAACATACAGTACATAGTGAAATTATTCAACATTATCAGGTAATCAATTCATTTATTTTATATGAAAACTTGAAAGAAAAATATATTTCAATTATACTATGTTCTTATGAAGAAGGAAATGCCTTTTTAGTCACACTTAAGGGAGAGTAGGTATTAGTGCCATTTGGAAAGTACTCTATGTAGTGCTAAAGAAAACTAATATTAAGAAAAATATAATGAATAATGTCTGTTGCTAACCATAGAATATGTAAATACGGTGCCAGTGAATTATCCCCTAAAGGATGCCAAATTCCCTGCCATATGTTGTCTTTCACTGTATGGAATTTGCTGCCAATTTCACTTATTCTTCATCCTGTGCTCCAAAATCTTGAGGAAAAATATTCTCAAAACCTTCTCTAGAGGTTTCCATTGGGACTGGAGCCAAGAATCACAGATCAGCCTCTCAGGATCCCTTCTGAGCCTGGCTGGAGAAACCATCATGGAAATAAATTCAGATCTCTATCACGGGCCGTAAGCCAGTTCCCCCAGAGCAGTCATGAGTCCACCTGGGAAGCCAGATCAGAACTATTTTAAATCGACAGAGAACCAAGAAAAGGCCCTGAGTCCACTGTGATCCCAATCTTTACCACTCAGAAGCATTCCCAAGACTCCTATAATTTTCTTAAAGACAGGAGGGCAAAAAGGGTAAAGATTTGGGAATTTCAATGAAGCTATTGAACAATAAAGAAAAGGCAGCTAGCTAGCTGGGAGTTCCTGTTAAAATTGAGTCACCGATTTTCCTTGCTGTTGGCATACCAGAAATTTCTCCAAAGTTCTCTTTTTGACTATCTTTTATTTGTATATCTTTAAAAAGCCCAACATCTGGCATATATAGCATGTCAAAGAAAGACGCATTAATCCTAAACTTTTATTTTTGTTAGGACTGGGTATATATCTGAAAAACTTAATTTTAATGGCATCATTGGGGATTGAACCTATGGCCTTCACATTTAGCTACATCCCAAGCCCTTTAAAAATATTTCTTAGTTTGAAATAGTCTTGCTAAGTAGCTGAAGTGCCGGGCTGGACTTGAACTTTCAGTCTTCCTTGCTTCAGTTCCCAGAGTGCTGGCATTACAGACATGAGTCGCCATGCCCAGCTCAAAATCCTTATGATTGGGTTTGAGTTTGAACAACTTGTACTCAACATACACAGAAGCAGATCTTAAGACTTTACTTACTCTTAGTAACAACTCCTTCTAGTCGAATGATATTAGGATGGTCAAACTGCCCCATAATGCTGGCTTCTCCCAAAAAGTCTCTCCTTTGCTTTTCTGTATAGCCCACTTTCAGGGTCTTGATGGCCACTGAAATCTCCTTTTTTGAAGGAAGTTTTAAACGTCCACTGCACACCTCTCCAAACTCACCTACCAGAATGAAGAACAGCAAAATGTAAGGAGTTATATAATAAAAAAATCATCAGTGGAGAACCAGTATTTCTTTTCAATGTTTGCATTACAAATCGTTACACTCTTGACCTGGAAGATATACACTATAGGCCTCTAAATGATTTTGGAAGATAACAGTTTAAAATTACATAGGCAACCTCAGAATATCCACATCCTGGTGGAAAAGGGATCTGGTGAGAATTTATTTTATTTTAAAGCACCACATCCCGGTACCGGAGAAAAACCAAAAAAATAAAAAAAATAAAAAAAATAAAGCACCACACTATGAAAAGTATGAGAGAGAGAGAGAGAGAGAGAGAGAGAGAGAGAGAGAGAGAGAGAGAGAGAGAGAGAAAGAGAGAGAAACAGAGACAGAGAGAGACGGAAGGAAGGAAGGAAGGAAGGAAAGAAGGAAGGAAGGAAGGAAGAAGGGATTTGAAAGTTTCATTTATCAAGTATTTTATCCCTTGTTTTCATAGCTACCATTATCTCAGGTTAATTATCAGGCCTGGGTATTATAAGTTGAGCACTGGATTATGTTTCAGATGTTTGTAACTATTTTCTTTTTACTGATGGATATTTGGCTTTGTACTTAGACTCTACAACAATGAGAATGAAAACATCCCCTATCATTTCATTTCATTGGAGTATTAGTACACTGCATTATTGACACACTATCTATGATGTTCTCTGGGCTTCCGAGGGAGAATGGTACTGTAGCAGTATCAAAGGAAGCACTTCTCTTATCTAAAGCATCTCTGCGGACCTATCTGATTCAAAATCCTCAGTAAGAATTACAAATGTGAAATTTATCCAGGATTAATTGAAACTAGAGTGTTGCTGGTTCTTGAATATCCTAATCCAACTAATATAAAATTGCCTAGAACCAGGTGGGAACTACGTTGTTGCCGAGATGATTTATGTGTCATTCTTTCATCAGAATTTAAGTTCTCATTCATTTCTCTTCTCTTGGCTGTCACAATGATTGCCTCAAAGTAGCAACATCACAGACTGTCGCTCCTTCACAAAGCTACAAATGTTGTGTGGATTATTAGGTCTGTGTTTGTGCCACATTCAAATAATAGGCTTCATATCAGATAAGAATTTTTTCTTAAATATTATAAAAATAATTACATGATTAATTTTTTGGTTCCCTTGGAAATGGAAATAATTTTGTTCTCTTTTCACTGTCAGTTATATATATATATGAGCCTCATACTCTATGTGTCAGAAAGAAACAAGTGGGCGATTCTCTACTTTTTATATTTATTATCTATTTATCCAAGTAAATGGTTTGACTGAGGAAAGTAGCAGGATATTCTGTCACCTGCCAACTCCATGACTACAAATGAACTTGCCTCTCCCTAGGACACTAGAAACCCCCTCCGCATGGCAGTTCTTTTAGGGAGCCAATCTTATTGCTGTGTGCTAAGCAGTGACTCACATCGTACAGTGCTTCTCAGTCACCGAAAGTCCAAAAGCAGATGCTCAGGCACCTGTGTAACAATATTCATTGGCCGTCAGCAGTATGGAAGACACTGTGAGACACAACCTAAAACAAGGAGTGATAAGTTTCTTCCCTTTGAGGAAATAGAGAAAAACAACAGTGCCAGCAGCTACCCTTTTCCTCAGGATTCTAAGGAAAATTGGGGAGTAGAAGCTGAGAATATGCCCTTGCTATGTGGAACTATTAGCAGTTTTGACACCAAGTTTGAATTTATAAGCAAGAGTCAGAGTCCCTTTCCCAGGGTTTCCTGAGCACTGCTGCAGAATGCCAGCTCATTTTCTGTAAATATTAAGTTTGAGCAAACTGTATATAAAAAGGTTTCCATTAAGAACCTACTAATTTTCTGAAAGTCCTACCCTTATCATGAATCAGCATAGCATAAAGACTATGTTTTACATTCAAATGTCACCAACACTTAGCGAGCTATAACATGTCAGCTTACAGGAGCGAGAGTCCAGAGCTGTGATTAAGGGAATGAATCCTGGAGCTAAATGCTCAGAGTTGAATCCTGGCTGTTCTTTGTTAGCTTTGTGATTTTGAGTGTTATAACCTCTCTGTGCCTCCCTTTCTTCTTCTTCTTCTTCTTTTTTTTTTTTTTTTACTTTAAAGAGAATTAAAAGAAATAATGAAAATGATACAGAATTTCAAAACAGGATGATAGGAAATTAACAAAGGTTTTTATAGTGCATATTGTTATCTTCAAAGTGCTTGTTCAGATTACCAGATACAAGCATGCAAAATTGATCAAATTAGGCATTATCTACAACTGAGCACACCACTGATTTCTACCTCCTAAGGCTGTTACACAAAGAAGTTGATATACTTAAAGAACCTGGAACAGTGCCAAACACATAGTGACATCTAAGTTTTAGTTGCTATTTACTTCTCTATATTCAGACCCACCATAAGAGGCTTAAATTATCTACCTCTCAAGAATTCCTGTTCTGGGGGGTGGGGATTTAGCTCAGCGGCACAGTGCCTGCCTGGCAAGAGCAAGGTCGTGAGTTCGATTGCCGGTACCGGAGAAAAACAGAAGAAAAAAAAAAAAAGAATTCCTGTTTATATCAAACTGACAAATGAATATAAAAGTGTTTTTTTTTTTTTTTTTTTTTAAATGCCAAAAGCTATGTAAGAGATAGTAGTAACTTTCTTGTCAACCTGGACAAGTATTTGTAAAGGAGAACACTCCTAAGAGTACCTGACAATATCGTTTCTCTTCAGATCGTATAAATCTTTCACCTTTCACTAGAGTACCTGACAGGGGAGATTAAATGTAAGTTTTCATATTCTAAGTGAGACAATTACAGGTTCTTTGTCCTGAGTGGGATCTATGATGTGCACATGTATAACTACATTCAAAATTTGTAGAAATGGTATTTCAGTATTGCTAAATTTTAAATATTTTAATGTGACCATTTCATCAGATAAATACTAGAAATGGTCATCAATATATTATATAAAATATAAGTGCTTATCAGCAATTCAGTCCTCTTTATAATAATTCGAAACAACTATGTTAATAAAGTTGACAAAGACTGGGCAAATATGATTCCCAATTGCCCCCACATTTTCTATTTTTTTCAATTAATTTTGTACGTATAAGAAAAAAATGTTGTTTTTTCAATTTTTAACAAAAGTCACAGCAACCACGTGCTGATATTTGAAATTGTAATGTGTGGCATGTTCATTGTCTCTTCTAAACATATTTGTTTTATGGGAAGAAACAATAGGCTTAGATTTAAGATGCACAATGTAAAAATTATAGATTCTTGTCCTGGGAATGTTGCTCAGTAACAGAGTCCTTGTCCTCCAAGTATGAGGCCCAGATTGCATCCTTGGCACCATGAATAATGCATAAGAAATAAGAAATAAACAAAGACAATTTCCTTCACTTTATTCTTTTAAAATAGAAAAACATCTAATTGTGTTTAAGGAGAATGACCACCTTCCCACATTAGCCTTAAGGCCTATTCTCCTATGTTAATAAGAAAAATATAATAAAAATCAATACTGAATGATGCGTATGAGTCAGCAAAGTATTCTACACAAATGTGTCACTAATTCCAACAAAAATTCTACCCAAAAAGGCACTATTGTGATCGGCAGTATCTGGAATGGGCTTTGGGTTTGGAAAACAAAAACTTAAGCTCTAGTTTCTTATTTTGGTGACCACAGTCCTTCAAATTTCTAGCCGCTTATTCCCCAACTGTGGAAATAACGACAGTGGCACCTATATGAATTTGTTCACAAGTTAAATGCCACGTGATTGGAAAAAGTAGTTGGAGCAATAAAAGTAGAAATTTTAGTCATTTTGAATTTTTCTTTAATAGAAATTTAATTTAGTTAATTTATGGCTCAATTTGAATTTTCCATTTGCATTATAAATATAATGCTTCTGGGGATATAATGTATAAATGAAATTTTCTATAACACATATCTATATAAAAACTGAAAGAAAAATTAGAGAATTAGTCATATATATTTAGAGAGACAGAGAGTGAGAGAGAGACAGAGACAGAGACAGAGATCTAGACAGAGAGAGAGGAATTACATTAACTATCACTGAGTGAAAGTATTAGCCTAACAATGACAGGTATAAAAGATAGTTATTAATCAATATAGCATAATTATTCTTTTTGAGACAGGGTCTTGCTATGCAGTTCAGACTTGCCTTGAACTCACTATGTAGACCAGGCTGCCCTCAAATTCATGGCAATCCTCCTGCATCAGCCTCCCAAGTGGTGGGATTACAGGTATGCACCACCATGCCCAGCAGCTTAATTATTAAATTTTTATGAGTAATATTAAGTTACTTTTATTTTTTATTTTAAATAATTTTGAGATGTAATTCATGTCATAAAACTCAGGCAATTGAAGACATTAAATTATTTTTGAAAACTAAAAGTTTGTATATAGTAGGCAACTATACTGATAGAACAAGTTTGGCACAGGGCCTGAGGTGCAGTTCTGTGATAGATCACTGGCCAACATGCAGGAGCTCCTGGGTTCCAGCCTCAGGACCACACAATATTACTTTGAAGTTGGCACGAGTTATTATTGGACTTATTGCAGAAATGTATACATACACTTTAATTATTTTAACATGCATACTTTAAATGTTACAAAAGAAAATATTTTAAAAATGATAGTTTAAAAAATCTGATTCCATATTCTACCTTGGAAGCATCAAAGCCTCTAATGTGTAAGCAAAGTCGTCTAGAATTTGGTGTGTGTGTTAAGATGAATACAGCCAGCAGAAGTATAACCAACCTTGGGGATATATCTACTTGTGAATAAAAGAGGCACAGTTTATCGCTTTTAACGTGGCAAATAAGTATACTGTGTACAACTCTCCACATATGAGGTATTTGTCTTATTCTTTACAAACGTGCATGAGGAAAGACAACTTAGATCTGTTCTAACCCTTAATAGGCACCAGAATCATTGACTGACCCCTATACATAGAAGAAGTCCCTTTAGCTCATGTATGTTACCATTGTTAATGTGTGAGCTTTGTCTCATAACTTTGCTTTGTGAATATCTTTTTTATTAATTTTTTTCCAGTGCAGAAGGCCAGGGATTTAAAGCTCATCATAATGTCTGTCAGGTCTTCTGGGCATTGGCTCAGAATCAGTGAATTTTATTCTTCTCCTCAGACTCCCAGTCAGTGTGCACAGTCTTTGTGCTGCTCGTCCTACTGCAGATTCCATGTTGGAAACCAGTGCACTTTTGTGGGGCAACATGCAAACCAGCCGAGTGGAAGACTTCTGGCAGAGGACACTGCTCTCAAATGGAGCAGACCGTTGAAACAGTACCCTACATGTATCTGTTTGGGCTGTGGATGCGTATAGGTGTACAGTCAATGTGTGTACTTCCCAATCTTTGTGAAAAGAGAATACCAAAGCTAATTTTTTTTTAAAATGAGCACAAATTTCACATTATAACATTACCTGCATGTGTGAGCTGCTTGGAGGATAAGACATTAAGAAAATTAGAAGAGTAGCTTTGGAAAATTATCATTTTCTTTGGATAATATGAATTACTCAAGATTGTTCTGTTTGCATACCAACTACCGATTGCATTTTAAATACTACTTTGGTGTATAGAAAAATAGAGGCAATTACATGTATATCTGTGTAAAGAAGGATCAGTCATAAATATAGAAATATAGCACTTGCATAAAATGTGATCTGACATACATAATTCAATGAGTTAATTACTCAATGTTTTATTCTAGCTCCTGCATCAACATAACCAATTTGGTTTGTCTTTGAGGGCAACATCAAAGGATATAATAACTGTGCAAAACTCTTTATTGTTTTGCATGGTTTATTTTTACTTTTGGACAGCAATTTTATTGCTGTGTACTCTGCCATATATTATGTGTGTTCATGCATTCCTGTGTAAGTATATAGAATACTGTTATGTAATTCATATCTAAAATTTTTGTTGAGAAAATGCAGCTTCATTAAAATTCACTTAAAGAGTTTCATTAATAAATCTATGATTACTTGAGGAACAGAGCACTTTTGTTCTACACAATGAAAACTTAAAATAGGTAGACTATAAGTGCAAAAAAACCCAAAAGAAATATGAAAGAAAAAAAAAATAAGTACATTATATCAAGTTAAGCAAGTATTTTTTATGAAGTACTTCATATTATTTAAAATATTTATACAAAAGAGTTGTGATGGAATTTATGTAGTTTATCAAGATTTTATTTTATTTTTTGTTGCTTGTTGTTTTGTTATTCTGAAGAGGATTTTGAAATTGAAAATCAAAGTTTGCAATTACTTGGCCTGATTAAAGTGAGACGCAGTTTTACCCTGTTACCCCTACTCTGCTAACCGCTTTGTGATACATGATCAGCGTAGCGTTGGGAAGATTGAGCCATTGCTGCTCCCAGCTCTGAAATTCAATAAATAAATGGTGGCCATGGTCTGAGAGGCTGTAAGCCTGGCACCTTTGAAATCATTCCATTCCATTCCATACTCCATTTATTTATTGCCTGTCTTTGATCGTTAAATCAGAAAACACCTGTTTCCATTGCAATATTCTTAGGCCTGGTGTAATTTCCACACTAGGTTGGCTGCTTACCTGCTCCAACTACTTTGTCAATGGATATGTTGGTGGCATCCAGTTCCTTAGCAAACTCATGAACAGCTTGTGTTGGGTCTTCATACGTATGTGGATCAACGTAAGTCCTGAGACCTGGAAGTTTTACTGTTTAAAGGAAAAAGCAAAGACATTATTGCAATGAGATTTGTTAAACTTTTACTGAGTAATTGTTATGATGAATTTGTTGGCTAAAAGAAGTCTCCATGTCAAGAAAGTATGCTGATCTTTAAATTTGTCACTTTTTTCTTTTACTTTCCTTAAACTAAAAATTAAAAAGAAAGATGTGTGTTCAGGCGTTTAGTGCCAGTAATCAGAAAGCTGACCAACACAATTAACAGGCTTAAAAATTATGCCAAGAAGCTAAAGTTCTAAACATAAATCATATAGAAATTTTATATGTAAATCTATTTTATATTTATTGGTTAAATAATTCTGAAGGTGGAAATTTTCTAGAGTATTCTGCAATTAAATTAACCAGACAAATAACACAGATAAATCATTTTGAATTCGATTCTATTTAGTAACATCCTATAATTTGGGTAAATAACTCCCATTAAAGATGATTTGGAGTATTTAATAAACTATCTTAGAAAAAAACCCTAAATTTTAAAAAGTGTCCTAGGATCAATTAAATTTCATGAACATCATCTAACATTAAAAAATATTATAATTTTTAAACTGGAGAATATCCACTAATATTAGTTATGCCTTAATCTTGGTAACATTGTTGACAGTGCACGAGAAATGGGGCATGAATAATAATAGGTATTTTTCACAAAGTTATTGAAAAATACTTTTCTTGTAGTTTAATAAATGAAGCCAGTCATTAAAGCTTATAATGTTATTTTATAAAGGAAGGCACTCTTTGGTAGAAAAGCAGTTGAATTCTATAGTGACCGAAGCTTTCTTTGAGATACTTTTTTAGCTTGTCTTAAATAGCTGTGTGGAAAGCCTTCAGAACAATGAACATTGTTATTAGGTCAATGAGTCCAGGATTTCAAAGTTTGTTTTAAAACATGATTAGTTCAATTAATTATAAGATAATTTTATGAATACCATGGTGACACCGCTTCCTATGACAAACCCATAGGAGTTTTGAATAAAGAAACATAGGCACAGAATAAAGCGATTACAAAAGAAATAGTGATGGGGAAGCATGGGGTTAAGAACTCCTTTTTCTCAGCTCCTTCTGCAGATGAGCTGAACACAGCACAACGGTAAGGCGAGATGAGCCGTCAAGTGGGGCACAAGGAGGAAAGGCTAACACCACCCAGACTGCAGCACTTGCTGCTGCTGGAGAGGAGCAGCCAGCCTTCGGCCGGAGGCAGAGTGCAGATAATCTGTAAAGACAACAGCGTCTAGGAAGTCCGCGTTCACAAGACAGGAGAGTAAAGTTGTGAAGTTGAAGTGCTTTGGGCAAACAGGGCAGAGGAAATTGTGAAGTGAGAACTCTTCTGGCGTTTCTCTCTCTTGGATAGTTCGGTTAAAGGGCAGGGCAGGCTGTGGAGAAAGCTCTTGAAAAGGTATAGTTCAAGTGCTTGCTGCATAATCAGCGCTGGAGTAATGACAGGATTATTGCCCTAATCTGTATTTTCACTCTTCAGAATACTTATTTACAATTACTAATATCACTGAGGTTTCCTGGCTTGAGAATTTCAGCTCATAAATGCCATTTCTTTTGACCTAACATATAAATTTGCACACTTCTTTCATGTAAACACTAATCCTTTTTATAAAAACAGATGGCAAAGTCATTCTTTAATGTAGAGGTCTACTATACTTTATTACTGCACTAAAATGATTTCTATCAGTACTAAAATATTTACCCTTAAGACAAGAAACAGATTAAAGAAAGCTATATGTTTCTTGCTTCAGAGAAAGAAAAACTAAGTTACCAGAGTTACTAAAATATGGTAGGTAATGTCTTATTAGTCCTGTTGTTGAGTCAATTTTGTTACATTTTCATGAAAATTCATTTCACCCTAATGAAGGTATGTTATATTTTTATTTACTTGCATATTAATTGTAAGGAGAAGAAATCTAGCACTTTTCTCCAAGTTTAAAAAATAAAACTTTGAACATAAAGTAAAATTGAATATTTTTGGTAAATAATTGCACATATTTTACCTTGATGAACTTAAGAAAACCAATTTGAGGAAGACTGGTGGAATAACAATTTACAGAGTATGAAAGAAGTTGTTATAAATGATGTCTTAAATATTTTACACTTGATCTTAGCCAAAAGGCCGAGCATGTCTTAAATATTTTAAATGAGTACTGAATGTTTTAAAAAGTTTCAAATGTGCTTTAGTATTAACACTCAGCCCTAGAGAATATATGTATTCTTGAATAATGTGAAAATTACATAATCATTCTCTCCAAACTCAGTTATATTTTCTTTTATTAATTAAAATAAGGTGAATTGCTTTTCCACCCACATAACATTTGAAGAAAAAAACTAGAAATATAAATATTCGTCCCAACCCCGGGTAAACAATGGTCTGGTCATGGTGGGAGCTTTAGCTGCTGAGTCCTAACTGCTCACCTCAGAGGGTCCAGGAACCAGGAGATTGAGGCTACAAGGCACATAATCCCTTCACACCAATAATTAAGGGCAACATACAGAGTCACTGAGCTCTGTCATGAAAACCAGATAATAAACACATGCACACGTGTTAAGCTGTACTACTTTACAGCTCATTCTGTGCAAACACAATAATTTACATTTCCATTTTAACAGCATGAGTTGCCCTAAGGAGAGCAAAAAATGTAAAAAGTTCCAGGCACAGAGGGCAAGGGGACATGGTCTTAGGAGGTGAAACACATTTCTTTCCTTTTGAAGCAATATTATAGGATTTGTAACAAGGCCAAAGGGAATAGCTCATAGCTACAGCTTTTAAAAATAATTCCAAGTAAATAGTCTGAAATAAACCAGCTGTGGTATGGAAGGACAGAAAGTTTATAACACGCATATAAGTTACTTTATGATTTTAAAACTAGACTAAAATGTATTTTTGCTGTCATAAAGATATCATACATTTGAAAAAAAATTACATCTCAACAAACTCCGCCATAATAACCAACAGGAAAATAGACTGCAGACAGTACAAGAGCCTACTTAAAATTGGCACACAGAATTTTATCAAATATCCATATTCATAAGATTATAATTCCCATAAAAATAACTGCACCATCATGCCTTGCTCTAAAGATAATGTTCATACCTGTGGTCCATCTAACACTGAAGAGATTTTATCCACAAGAATGTAATGGCCTAAATTTATGTGTGGAGGTTGCGACACTATATTTTTGTGTGTGTAGGCCCAAGGCAAAAAGACTAACCTGGAGTGATATGTTATTGATACCAGGAAGACAGTGCCTTGACTTGTTTTGTGACCTGTTCCATAATGACTCCGCAATTAGATCAATAAACTCGTAATACTTCTGCAAACTCTTGCACTGCTTCCATCTCACATTAATTTACTTTTGAAAAATATTTCTCTTTCTTCCTTTCTCTCTATATATCTCTCATTCTGTCTCTCTATGTCTCTCACTCTGTCTCTGTCTGTCTCTGTCTCTCTCCTCTTTTTAGAAACTATATGGTTCCTCCATGTTAACAAAAAGTAAATCAGGATTTTTACTTGAGTTATAACCAAAGTTATTATCTTTAGCTGCATATCCAATGGCTGCAAGGAAGTTTAATGTTGATTTGAAAACAATTTTCAATGGCAGTAGTGAATGCCAAAAAAGTAATGATTACAAGACCACATTAATTGTTTTGAGATATTTTGGAGCACACGAGCTTGAGCGTAGTCTTTGTACTAATTTCCATGAGATCACGCTATTCTCTTTAAGGCCACTGATTCATAATCGCCACAATGAGCTGAGCTGAAGTTTGGAAAAACAAAACACCTGGAATGATTGGTCTCACCAGTGGGGAAAAATGAGGCTTTTTACTAGATGTAAACAAGTTATTTTCTAAATAAGTGTTTCTTTTAGAAAATATTAGAAGAGACTAAATTGGTTGGTATTAAAATGGGAAGGAAAAGTCCTGGCTTTCCTACCAGCTGGATATCATGTAACTCCAAAACAAACAGTTTATTCTAAAGACTCTTTCCTGGTTGGTTGATAAAATGGAGAAGGCATTTCACATAAACAGAGGTTGTTTATATTTACTTGGCAGTTATGAAAGAGAAAAATCTCCTATTTAGATTTTAGCAAAGGACTGGTAATAAGGAAATTGAAGACACGCTTTGCATTTCAGCCATGCAGAGCTGAGTACAGTTCATACTACTCATCATGTGCATTATTTGAATATAAACCACAGGTTACCCTTCCCGTTAAGTATGCTGAAATGTAGCCATGTAAAAATTACTTAATGCAGAGCCATGAATTTCCTTCTCCTTTTAAAATAAATTTAATTTAACCAATTTTTCCATGCAAACTCTTTTGAATTCCCTTTATCAAGGGGAATTTAGCCAACTATAAAGCAAGAAGGGCTAAAAGTAAGATGTTGGAACAGAACAGTTCAGCAACTCACAATGTCCATTCCCAAAGTGAAGTCTTTTTTCATCTGCACCATGTTTTGACTTGTTATAGCCACAGAACCTAAGGTAAATCAAGGGAAGAGAGAACATAAGATGGTTATACTTAAAACAATTATGTGTGTTCAAAATATGCAAGGCACAAAACTTAAAGCTTGTTTCTCAAACAATTAAATGCTTTAGTGAAAGTTTATTGGCTTCATATTTTCTAAATCTTCAATAGAAAATCTCTTTTCCTGGGGACCCTGAAAAACTGCCTAATGAGGAGATATGTAGGGCTGCTTTCCTACTGAGCAGACCCCTCCAGTTCAGTTTTTATAATGGCCTTAGAACGTGTTTATAGTATTTTTAACAACTACTGTTCGAATGAATGAAGGTAAAGTCTCCGTTGGTAATGATTACTGCTGGGCAGTTTTGCCTATGTTTGGGTGAGAAAGTGTCAAGGAAATCTGGGCTTATTTGAAGAGTGAGGGGATAATTGGAAAAAGACGACAGAAATGAGGAACAGGGTCAAAGGAGGAAAGTGGTATGTTTTAGGGTGGGGGCGGGAATTAATGGAAAAAAGAAAACCAAAACTAAGGATGGAGGGAACCAGGGAAGGGAAAAGAAAAAGGAAGGACCCAGAATGTAGATGGAGACACTTTTATTTGTTAATAAACTTTATTGACCACCACAAATTTTAGCAGCAACCAAAGGCAGCAAGGAAAGCAATAATGAAAATACATAATGAAACAGACCGTGACCTCACCTCCCGATCAGAACATAAATGACGACGGTGAGGAGAATAATTGCTACTGCTGCTGAAATGGCGATCATTACCACTTGGCTGTTTTCACCAGAGATGGAGAAAGCTGTGAGACGTTGAAAGAGAAAACAAGAAAAGAACAAGCATTATCATGTCATGACTAATGTGTACAAGGCACACCTTATAAATCTAGCATATTATTTTTTCTGAAATGTTTAATTTTGCTACAATGTTGAAAACTTCTTTATTTACTATAAAAGTATCCCGATCATTTTGCTTGATATTTTTGCCCAGCTCACAATTTATTATGTAACAGTGAACACTGTTTTGAACCATTGATCAATGCCATCTGACTGCCTATCCTAGTGAATATAGTGGACTGGCTTCTACTCTGCTTGGCAAGAAGCTCACTGGACAAACCGGAAGTCATCAGATGAACACGATGGGTAGAGAAATATCTCCCAGGGCAATATGTGAATCCTTGCTAGTGAATCTTATTTGGCCCCAATATCTGTACTTATTTTTAAAAGTGGTGTTTTATTTGCCACAGCAAGAATGACCTCGGAGGACATCACGCTGAGTGAAATAGGCTAAACACAGAAAAATAAAGGCTCCCTGTTATCCTTCTATGAGGAATCATAAAATTCAAATTTATAAAAGTACAGAAGAAACTTATGGCTACCAGAGCCGTGACAGGGGGTGAGAATGGAAATGGAAACCAAAGGTACAAGATTTCAGTTAGACAAAGATAAGTTTTCAAAATCTGCTGCATGGCAAAGTCAGTATAGTTAATTGTAGCATTCACTATTTCAAGTTTTTAAATGATCTCATTCCAAAAAAATACGTGATGGATATGTTAATTAGCTTTATATCGGCATTTCACAGTGTGTATATTTCTCAAAACTTAACATTGTACTCCATAAACATTCACAATTAGTTTGTCAATTACAAAAACAAATTTAAATTTTACAAAGTAAAAAGCTAGAAGCTTATGGACTTCATCATATATCATATACAAACTATGCCTATGTTTCTTGCCTTTTAAAACAGCCTTATTGTTCACTCAGAAAGTTAATAAAAGTAGCCTAGAAGCTGAATCTGACCAGCCACTATTTTTTGTACAACTCATGAATTTGGAACCATCTTAGGTTTTTAATGGCTATAAAAAATAAAAAACAAACCAAAGTTTGGTGACATGAAAATTCTATTAAATTCAGATTTTATTGTTCATAAACAGAGTTTTATTGAAACAGACACAATCATTCTTTGTGTATGACTGATTTTACACTAGAGTGAGCAGTAGCAGCAGAGACTGTAAGTGCATGAAGAATTAAATATGTACCTGGCCCTTTACAGACTAGACCTTCAGCCACACCAGTGCTTCTCAAAATTTAATGTAGAGTAACTATTTGGGGAAATTTCTGAAAAAAGCAGTCTTGTCTTCCTCCTCTGCTGGTCATGCTCTACTTAGTGAACCATCAAACTCTCTTTAATATACTAGCTTATATTTCCATTTCTCTTTTGGGTCATAATTAGAAATTCCTAACTGGTTTCTACACATATGCCTTTCTTAATCTTTTACTTTGCCACCTAAGTACTCCTTTTAGACCATGAATTTGACAATCATTCCTATGCATAAAATCTTTACAAGGTACTTTATCACTTTCAAAATGAAATGCAAGTTCTACAGCAAGGCTAACATATAGCCATTTAGGATCAACTAGCTCCTAGCCTCATCTGTTTTAAACTCCATAAACATTAAAATCATTATACTTTCTACAATTCAAACAATTCCTGGTACAGCCCCTGTCACAGGATTATATTTGCACATGTTATTTTTGCAGCGAATGCTAACTGAATATATGAACAAATGTGACTCAAAAGAAAAGCAGATTAATTACCTGAATACTAACACCTCACTAGGGACCAACGATTCATTTTTAACCTTAATACATATGAATTTGGAACATTTTCTTCAAAATATATCATTTAAAGTGTAGATAAAAGGTGTAAGAAAAGAAACACAGGAAGGCAGGCTATTAGAAATCTCCTAAGCATCCAAAACAGGAACTGAGAGTGAGACAGAATGGAATGGCATACTATGAAATGTTGCAAGCAATTTATTCTGAAATGCTACTATTTTACACTACTATCGCAGTCAGAAAAGAACTGGCTCAGACGTCCTTGCTGTGAAAAGCCCACAGAACAGACAGCCTCTACCTTAAAGGCTCATCGCAGGCTACAAGCACAGGTGCTGTCCCCTGAATGACTAAGCAGACAGAGCCAGAGGTCCTAGACTCTGGGCATTCTTATCCCATACAGGATTCCAGAATTGGTTGATCTGCCCATGGGTGTTCCCTGTTGGGATGGTCAAGACCCTGGGGAACTGTATTGCTCTATGAGGTTCTTCCTTCCCAGTCTTTTCTTTTCTTACTTTTTCTTTTCATAGATGGAAGAATGTCTTAGTTACTTTTCTCATTGCTGAGGCAAAATACATGACCACCAAAGTTAAGGAGGAAGGTTTATTTGGCTCACAGTGGGTAGAAGTTTCAGTGCATAGTTTGCTGGCTCCAAGACAGGGTGGAATGGCAGAGGAGAAATAGTCCATGGCAGGCAGAAGGTAGAAAAGAGTGAAACAGCAAAGAAGCAGCAACAAGGAACAATAACAACTTTCTTTCTCTCCCTTATATGCCATACAGGATACCCTCCCTTATGGTGGCTAGCACTCACACTCAGGGTGGGTCTTATCATTATCCACACTCAGGACTATTCCAAACCAATTAGTAGACTAATTGATCACAGACACCCTTGAGCACAGGTACACACACTTAATTCCAGCATCATACACTGTAGATCCAGTCACTTCTGAAAAGCCTCACCAAAGACAGCATGAGATTTTGTAGGTACATCTAGACACAAGCTATAACGTTCAACCCTGGACATCCAAAAACACAAACACATCCCTTTATGCAAAAGGCGTTTAGTCCATTTCCAAGAGTAGTCAAAGTCCTAATACCTTAAGCATTGCTGAAAAGTCCAACTCTATTCTGCTCTGAAATTTGAGGGATACTCTTAAGTGTGAGCACTTATACAAATGAACAGGAAGTTAAATACTTCCAACAGACATTTGTTCAGGATAAACATTCCTATTCCAAATAGGGGTGATGGAAAGGAATGGGACCAAAGCAGTCCAAAATCCAGCAGGGTAAACATTTAGTCCCGTAGTTCCATGTCCAGCATCTGAGGCAATCTGTGGCAAGATGTGAACACCAAAACACTTTGGTGGCTCTGCCCCCAAAAGTACTACAGATGGTTGTAGCTCCTAAAGCTTCTCTCTTTGGTTGACTTAGCTCATTTCTTGCAGCTTTGCTCAGACAATCCATATTTCTGGCTTCTCCAACCTACTGGGTTCCCCACTGCACCTTTGGCTTTACACAGCTTCATACAGTGCCCTCTCAGGAGAACACTGCCTAACCTCATAGGTCTTCTTCTGAAATCTGGGTAGAAATCACACTGACCCCACAACTGTTACATTCTGCATGCACCCAAAACCAGCACCACATTGATGGTGACAAGGTCTGCTGCTATCTATACTAGTAGCCAGGCTTCCTTCTCTCCTGAATGTTATGGGTTGAATGCCTGGATCACTGAACACTCTGAACACAGTCCCGAGGAACAAATTCTCCAGGCCACAGCCATTCTGGAACACAGTGCTCTGGGACTGTTTTCTTAAAGCAAAGTCTTTCAAATTTGCAACCTTGAGGCTTCAGAGGCTTGAGTCTTACTATTTCCTGTGATGTCCTGAGGCCATCTTTTCCATTGACCTGTTCCTTCTCAGCAACCAAGTTCTCCTCTGCTGTATCTGTGCAGCCCATCAGTTTACTGGGGCTTCCTTTATGGCCTCAGTATTTTAAATCATTCTGTTGGCCTCTTTGCTCTTGATTCTCAACATATATCTGCCTAAAAAGCCCCCTACAGCAGCTATTCCACTGACTCAACATTAGATTGTGTCTAAATTTCTGCTGTAGTATTAATTAGTCCACTGCTCTTTATTTCAATCTCGGGACAAGTCTCTGAACACAAGTAAAATGGAAACAAACTTTCTGCCAAGGCATAACACACATGGTCTGGAGTCCAACACCTATTGCAGACCTTCACCTCAACAGAAAATCCCTGAGACTGGTATTTACCGGCAGCATTTCTATCTATTTTCATCTTTTGAGCCCTGACCAGAATCTCCCATTGAGTACAGTTTGCGTAAATCCAGGGTTGCTTCTTCAGCAATATCCAAACATTTCCACACTCTCCCACAGCCCAGTTCTAAAGATTCTTGAACCACAAGTATAGTCACAGCAAGGATTGCACTTCTCTGCTACCATAATCTGTCTTAGTTACTTTTTTTATTGCTGAGACAAAATATCCAAGTCAAAGTTAAAGGAGGAAAGTTTTTTTTGGCTGACAATATGTAGAGGTTTCAGTCCTCTGTTGTCTGGCTCCAGGATGGAGACAGGTGGCTTGTTGGAGGGGCATCCCAGAGGACAAAGAGTTCACTGAGGGCAGAAGGCAGAATACCACTGGAGTAGCAACAAAGCAGCAGCAACTCTCTTCCTGTCCCTTATATTCTATCCAGGCTGTATTCCCTTAAGGTGGCTAGCACTCACACAGCATGGCCTTCTCATTACCCACATGCAGAGCTATATGAAAACAATCAATAGATTAACTTAGTAATTACACACTCTTGATCTTAGGATCACACACTTAATTCGAGCATCACATGCTGTATATCCAGGTACCTCTGAAAAGCCCTACCTATGACAGCATGAGGTTTTGGAAGGAATATCAAGACAAAAGCCATAACAACAGACATACATCTGGATTTGAGGCTCTCTTTGTCTATCCCTGCCCTATCTATCTGTGAACTTCTCAGGTCTTTCCCCATAGAATTCTTGCATATTCAATTTCATTTTACTATCTGCTTCCCAGAGGAGCTGACCATACCTATTTTTTTGACTATAAATCTGTAACATATTTGCAAAAATTGCTTAGCCCAGTATTTCAAGAATGTTCCATAAACACATAATAATAAGACAATCTCACACTATTCATTTGGTATATTGTAACAATTCATAGAGGTTTGAAATTTGTCATTTTGTTTAGGCAATTTATAAAAGAAAGCTCAATGAAACTGAGAGGAAAATATATGGGAAAGAATTCCCTGTTTCTTTTTCTGTCAGATATGGACTTTAGGACTTCTGTATAGTTTCCTCCAGCTCTAAATATATATGAACATTAGAGACTAAAACCCATAACCAAATTATATCATTTCTGTTAGTGAAATCAGTAAACATTTGAATGCATAATATGGATGTACTCTATAGTTGTCTTATAATTTAATGTGGCATATTGCTAAGCATTGATAACTGTTGCATTTCTTAGAAATTCAGTTTGAATTTATTTTACTATAAACCAATTATTCTCACTATTCCTAGTCACTTTCCATTTTAATTCATCAGACGTATATTGAGCGTGGGTTTTGTCCCCATAAAGAAGAGTGGTTACAATTATGTGCTCATTTTAGTTAGCTGAAATGCCTAGATTCATACTTGTGTGCTATGTAACATAAATGGTTTCCTTGAAGATTAAATAAGTTAATATAACTAAAATATTTAAAACAATGAGAGACATGTAGTGAATTCTGAATAAACATCTTGTTTTATTTTATGATCTGGAGTACAAAATATGCAAAAGTACTCTATTCCCTATGAAATTCTATATTTCAGTACACAAAATTTTCATATATATTGTACCTTTGACAGGCTGCTTTAACACACCATAATAAAAGGGTCCAAAAGATTCAAATTGGTGTGCATTCTTTAAAAACAATGAAAAGGAGGTGTGAGGCACTTACAAATCCTAATTTAACTGTCCCTGGGGTGTATTTTCTTGGATAGTAATATTGAATGGAATTCTCTAATTATGATGCTCAACTTTTTCACTGATTTTTATATTTTTTGTCATTTACTTTTTGGATTTTAAAATCATAAAAACTAACAAAACAACAATGAAGACAAAATCAAAACAACACAAAAATGGCAAAAACAATACATGACTTCAAAACAAAATGATAGGAATTAACAATGGTTGTTGCTACATTACATACTGTTATCTTCAACCAAGTTGCTCAGTCCACCAGACATAAGAATGTAAGACTGATCAATCAAAGACAGTAACATTTTAAAGACTTCTATCCCATGAGTACACCACGCTTATCTCCTGGTGACCAGCCACCTTCCACCATATGGAGATACTGGAAGGGGGCCCTTGCCAAACAATGGTGCCTGACCTTGGACTTTCTACTTTCCTTCCTTGAGACAAATAAATTCCTTTTCCTTAAAAATTACCCACTTTCAGGTACACTGTGCTGACACCAGAAAATAGACCAAGCCATACGCATACATGCATGCACACAGACATATATAATCTCACCCTCTCCACCTGGTACTTCCAATACTAGGTAATATTTTATGCACTTTGCAAGCATCAAATAATTTAATCATCATCAACTTATAAATCTACATGAGTTACACATATGATCTCCAATTTCCAAGTAGGGAAATTGATGCATAGAACATTGCATTGACTTGTTAAATTCATTCTAATACAGGCACATCAGCTGCAAATCCCTCACTTTTATCTCTTACATTATATCTTGCTTACTTGGCCACAAACCACAAACCCTGGATTCAGTTTTTGCTCACTGTAAGTTTCTGTGTGTGTGTGCGCGTGCACCTGCGCATGCACATGTGTGCTGTTACAGATCAAACCCAAGGCCTCACACATGTTAAGCAAATACTCTTATCTCTAAATTATACTTCCAACATCTAAATTCTTCTTTTCTTAGATTCCCTCATACTGATACCTTATTAGAAGCCCATGCACAATTATTACCTCAGAAATATCTGCAGGAACTCTAGATTTACATTAAAATTTTGGAATTTGTTGTTTATTTTGTAAATTCACCTAACAGCTAACATGGAGTGCTGGTTAGTGTCATATATTACTAGATGGATATTCTAAATCTGCATCAACATTGTAAATACTTACCTAATGGTAATTTGACTTTATCTTCTTCAAGATACCTAATTCCTACCACAGAATATTATAAATATTTATTTTACCTACTTAAGTTATTTGGCATCTTTCACACTATATCAAATACAGTTGCTCTGTATTTGATCCACTCATGACTCAAATATCCCTTTATTAGTTTGAAAAATTCAATTTGTAATTGTTTTGGAAGAATAAAACTTTGCAATACTTAAACACTGCAGAATGACTTAGAAATACTAATGTCAAGCTGCAATTAAGTCTTGTCAAGTCATTTAATTTTTAAAATTTATTTTAGATCTTTCATGAGATTTTATGCTTCATTTTTAATATTTTCAGTGTGGCTTCTCCATGGTCACTTCATCATAAGAGGGTTAGGAGCAGTCGTTAAATGTAGATTTATGTGTTTGAGATAGGCAGGTCTCTATTTTTTACGTTTCTGCTGTAAACTAGTAACTTCCAAGAACTTTGCAATCTTGCAGAAGTTATAATTCATTGCCATAACCTAATTGACAAAATAATTTTTCAATATTACTTCAGAAGAATAATTCATTATTCCTAACTGACAAAAAGTATGCCATAACATATTCACTCCATCATATTGAGAAAGAGTTTTTATCATTTTTGGTCAATCCTGAATGTTCAAACTGGGTAAGAAATTTGGGCATAAAATATACTCACACCAATAGTAATGTGATTTAATGTTAGGAAAAAGCATTTTAAAATAGAGAACTTAAATGCTTGAGAAAAAAGGCAGATTAGAACTGTCAAGGGATTACTGAGTTTTTCTTCAAGAGAGTGTGGGTATTGCTGGACCTGGCCAAGACAATCTGATTCTAAAGGGTGCACATCTTTTATCTTATTCTGAGGCTGTTCTGGAGCTATGAACTTCAGTGTAGAAACCTGTTAGTGATATGTAAATTGCTCATATATCTATATATAGATATAGATATATATACATATAGATATATTCACAGAAATATGTATGTATATGCATGTATGGATCTCATCAAAATTTGTCTTAATCACTTATGTCTCCTCTTCAATAAATTAAATAAAATATTTAATCTGAAT